ACATGACGTGTTGAGTGAGAAATAGCTTCAATGCCGTGTTCAGAAAACTCCTATCGAAGGTCTGTTCTGAGCTATTTGCATGGGTTGAACTCCAGTCAATATGGGGCGCGTTAAAGTCGCCCATGATTAGGATATCCGGCCGCGTAGCGAACTTTTCGAGCTCCTCCAGCAGGCGAGCGTCGGCCATGTTGTCCCGTCTCGGCGGTCGATAAACTGTCAGGACATCGAGGCTAGGCGAGCTCGGCACTTTAATAGACAACCAGATTGCCTCGGAACTGCACGAAAAGTTATCGGTCTTGTCTGATACATTTAGTCCATTTTTTACATACGTTAGTACGCCTCCTCCCTGACGCCCTTCCCTACCCCTTCTAAACATCTGGTAGCCAGGCAAGGCCAGCTCACGGTCGTCCACGTGTTGGGTCAACCAGGTTTCTGTTAGAGAGATTACGTCAGGGGATAGGTCGCAGAGGTGGATCTTCAGCTCGTCGAACTTTGATAGCAAACTCTGCACGTTGGTGTACAAGAATTTCAATTTCCGGCTGACGGAAGATGTGGTTACATTTGGGTTAGCGCCTTCACTTAATATGTCGGCTGCGCGGTCATTCGGACAGGACCTGTCCAAAGGAAGAGTGACGGACGCCGCCGTACTTGGTTGTTGTATATTACTAAATTGTTCTCCCCCTCGCTGAGCCTCTTTCTTAGTTCTAGAACCAGCTGAAGACGCTTGAGCCGTTCGGCTGGCGAGTAGTCCGGTTGAAAAAACACCGGGGTTGGAGCCTTTAATCCTGAATCGCCTGGAGTAAATGAGACTGGCTTGGTCGCTGCTGGTCAGCACAACTTTAAGAGGCCGGGATTGAGTGGTCATTGATGGATTATCTGCTCGTTTTCCAAGGCGGAAGGCTTTGATCACTTCAATAGCCTCCGTGGGTTCCAAAGTGTTATTGAGAAGACCTTGGAAGAGTGATAGGTCTTCCGAAATTCGCTCCTTGGGAGTAATTGCACTTGATTCAGGGAGCCCCTGAATAATAAGACATTGTTCTCTGTCGGTGTCTTTTTTATTTTCTACGGAATTGTGGTTCCCTAAATGACGTAACGCTCTGGGACTACGCGCTGGTGATGGTGGAGCAGATGCGCTTACGCCGTCTGTTTGTTTGACTCTTATGTTGACAATCTTGGAAGAAGTACTTGGCGGAGAAGACTGCGGAGAGAAATCTGTGGCTGTGATGGATGAATCGCTTCCACCGCTCGTACTAGGTCTATCAAGCTCGGACTGTTTCTGAGAGTCAGCAAAGGTGTTTGAACACACAGCATTTGTCATGAGGGGCGGAGCATCTGTCAATGTCTCTGCTTCGACCGCTAAAGAGGCATCTTCCGGAAGTAGCCGTCCGTTTTTCTCGGCCATTTTACAGTTGGATTTCTTTTTCTCTTCAGTTTTTGGGTTGCCTTTCTGGTCGTTATTTTCTCGCTTTTTAGCTATTCCTTCTGGGGCCGCTGTAATAGGTGCTGGCGTGCCTATTATGCTGGGAGCTTTTGCCCTACTTCTGGTTACTCGTCCAGTAAGCAAAGTGCTAGCGTTAGCTTGGTCTAGACTGCATCGCAACTGGGCTTTTATCTTTGTGATTTCTTCCTCAAGATAGTTGACCTTGGCGGCTAGAATCTGGCATCCACTGCAGCTTTGGCCTGCATTTTCTACGTCCATACAGTCAAGTAGACTATGTGATACCGCTCGCCGACGTGCTGCGGTGGCGTAGGGGTTAGCGCACTTGACCAAGCAAGGGGTGATCGCTGGATCAACTCCACCCTCGGGTCCTATTATCCGGACGTCAGTGCGTACTTCAGTCATGTCGTGAAGTTATGGAAAAGGAGCAGGCCACAGGAATCGAAGAAAAAAACGTTGCCTAGGGCCAAATAGGAAAACTGCGTGTATGGTTGGGTTTGTCGGAGCATCTCAAGAATGCAAGGCCTGGAGGTCTTTTTAACTATGACTTTTTGGTAATATGCCAGGAGTACAAATCTAAGCAGCTCAACAAGCAGTGTAGAAATTATCGACTCAGCCTTTAGTAGGTCCTGTTCCCAAGGTACGGTGGACAATTCGAGACGATATGAAGGATTTGTAGGCTGTGTTGGTTAAGCTCAGATTGCCAGCAATTGCAGAAAAGTGTCCTAGTCGTACGATGAGGGCAACGATGACAGTAATGTTGAGGGTAGTAGGCAACAATGCGTTTGAGAATCCAATTTCTGATGCCGGACCAACTGTTTCCAGTGAGGAACTCGATTGAAAATGTCCTTCTTGCTCCTCAAAATTCAAACCGCGCGCGTAGTTGAACAGTACGTTGTACTGAGTCATGTTACCAGGCTCTATATCCAAAAACCAGATTTAGAACGAGCACATCATGAACGCCGAAGTCACTCCTCTAGAAAAACGGGAAAACTCTTCCTAGGCTGGGGTGAAAGTACGACAAAACTGCAGTTCTTCAATCCCACAATTGCGCGCAGTTCGTTTACAAAAGCAAAGACCACGTATATGGCTAAGACAGGGCCCCGTAAGGAATTTAGGTAAGAGCGAATGAGGCACCAACTTTCCTTCAATGCATATTAATATGCTGGAGTTTAGTATAAGTCACTCGGCATAACCACCTTGGCAGAAAGGATATATCGAGTTTGTAACGACTTAATATAGAGAAGTCGCTATACGATATTAAACTACGAAAGCGTTAGGTCTGGCGGTAAAAGCGGAGGTTTGTCATTTGAAACTTACTTGTTCGGTTGTCTCCCTATCTCGGCAACACTGCATGACCAAGGTAAATCTTAGACATTACCTGGTCAATGTCTCAACGCACCTTTTGCCGGATTTTGACATCTGTGAGGATATGCGCGGGTCTAAATGCAGAGAACTAAAAGTGCTAATCAAGGCTAATCGGTGTTCAGGTTGGCACGCGCATTGTAGGTTTCTGTCCGTGTTAGAAAGGTCGAGACTTCCTGGAGGCCATTAACTTTGATGATTCATGCTTCTGGATTCCATGTATACAAATCTCGAAGAAAAATGAAAAACGTGGTTGCCAATCAAAACATGATGTCGGTCAACGATATCGAATCATTCGCATTACTGACAAACGATATCAGTTTTTCAGACATATGTAAATTTTACCTGCTTCCACGCTGTCTACAGATTTAACGACGACTTGGTGACCGGCGTCGAAAGTTTCCGAAATAAAGTTTGCTTAATTTCCACGAGGACTTATGTTTCTTTACAAATACATGCATATATAAACGGATAAAATAAAATGGCAATTTCCTGCGCATTAGTCGTCGTTAGCCAGTCATACCCTATACTGAGATATAAAACACAAGGAGGTCGATTATGCGACCTGTTGGTTAGATATCAAACACTTAAACCATCGTCACAGTGTCAAAGGGCAGCCGAACGTACGATAAGGATGTAATTTGCGCTGAGACGAGTGTTCATGCAAATTGATATTAGTTGTTCGAAAAAAACCAACGGGACATTCGTTCGTTCTCACTTAGAGTATGCAGTTCAGGCTTGGCGACCATGGCTCAAAGAGGATTATGAACCGCTGGAAAGATGACAGACCATGGCTACAAATCTTGATCATCTGCTCTGCGTAACCAGATTGACTAAACTAAATTTATTCTTCTCAATTACAGGCAACTGCGCGGCGATCTTGTATAAATATAAAGGACTGTCATAGGTCACTAGCGTGATCCAAACACTGATGGGTTTTCCGAATAGGCCGGAACAGACCGTCTGCGTAGTCAGCCCTTTAAAATGCAGAGGAAGCTGTCCCATACGGACTTCCGACGGCACGCCTTCTCGCAGAGGGTCATTGAAGGAAGGAAGGGACTCCATGATGCGGTGGATCTGTCCGAAACTGTTGAGTCCTTTAAGTGCAGACTAGACGCTCGTATTCTGGAAACTTACTGTACATATAATGGCGATCGTGTTATTGGGGCCAGTTTGCGCCTGGTCATAGCAATCTAGTCTGTTGTCTTTTTCTTTTAACTCTTGTCGTCTCTTGCACCGGTGTGCAAAACATCTAGGATACCCATTCTTGGAAAACAGTCTGAACAAATAATTTAGTTCTGTTTGATAGGTTTCGTTGTCCAAACAGTGAGTTCTTGATCGGTCCAAGAGGCTGTTCACGGCGCTCCGTTTGTGAGAGGTCGGGATATTGCTCTCGTGATGTAAAAGAATTTCTGCGTAGGTTTCGTTGCGGAAAATCGGAAAGATCCACCGCATCATGGAGTCCCTTCCTTCCTTCAATGACCCTCTGCGAGAAGGCGTGCCGTCGGAAGTCCGTATGGGACAGCTTCCTCTGCATTTTAAAGGGCTGACTACGCAGACGGTCTGTTCCGGCCTATTCGGAAAACCCATCAGTGTTTGGATCACGCTAGTGACCTATGACAGTCCTTTATATTTATACAAGATCGCCGCGCAGTTGCCTGTAATTGAGAAGAATAAATTTAGTTTAGTCAATCTGGTTACGCAGAGCAGATGATCAAGATTTGTAGCCATGGTCTGTCATCTTTCCAGCGGTTCATAATCCTCTTTGAGCCATGGTCGCCAAGCCTGAACTGCATACTCTAAGTGAGAACGAGCGAATGTCCCGTTGGTTTTTTTCGAACAACTAATATCAATTTGCATGAACACTCGTCTCAGCGCAAATTACATCCTTATCGTACGTTCGGCTGCCCTTTGACACTGTGACGATGGTTTAAAGGAGGAGGTCATTAGGACGCCGAGGTCTTTTTGTTCCTCAGCATTTGAAAGGGGCTGACTATTAGGGAGTTATTGATAGGAATCATCCTACTTACTGGACCGTTTGGTGCATAGTCTCAAGACCACGCATATGTTCACATTAAAGTTGAGGAGCCAATTGCGCAACCGTTTGAGAATCTAGTGGAGCGCGTACCTGTCTGCGTCAGCACTGATGGCCCTCAGAGGCATGAACGGCTGCTTGGCACGTTCCTACCATGGGTGCATGACGTTCGGGGAACTAGCCCTCGTGCTTGCCGTCGATAAAGTTCACAAAATGTTGTACGGTCGCCACTTCACGTTGCTGACGGATCACAAACCATTGCTGTCAATCTTCGGTTCGAAGAAGGGCATTCCCGTCTACTCAGCCGGCCGACTTCAGCGATGGCCAATCATCCGTCTTGGCTACGATCTCGACATTCGCTACTGTCGCACTACAGACTTTGGTCAGGCTGACGCCCTTTCTCTCCTCATCAGCAATCAGCAGGAACCGGAGGAAGATACCGTGATTGCCGCCAGTTCGATTGAGGACGATGTGCGCGGTCAGCTGTCAGACTCCATACGAGGTATCCCTGTCACTGCCGCGGACATCCGGCATGCTACTGAACAGGATCCTGTCCTCCGTCAGGCCATCACCTACGTGCAGACCTGCTAGCCAACCACTGCTCTCTCTGACTATCTTCTCCAGCTCTTCCTCCGCCGAGCATCGCTATCTGTGGTTAAGTCCTGCCTCATGTTTGCGGACCGTGTGGTGATCCCATCTTCCCTCCGACCCAGTGTACTACGTCAGTTCCATGCCGCTCATCCTGGTACCAGCCGAATGAAGTCAATTGCTCGCAGATTTGCTTACTGGCTGGGTATCGACGGCGACATCGACGAACTTCCTACGACGCATCTTTAGCCAGCATGACTTACCGGAAGACCTGGTTTCCGATAATGGCTCTCAGTTTACCTCGTTGACGTTTGAAAATTTCTGCCGCCAGCACAACATCCAGCATCTTCGCTCCCCGCCCTACCACCCTCAGTCTAACGGTCAGGCGGAGCGTTTTGTCGACACTTGAAAGCTCGACTCTTGAGAGCTCGTGGAGAGGAGACCACGGACGAGATAGTCCAGGCGTTCCTGTTTTTCTACAGGACAACACCGAACCCGGCGTCCCCTTGTGGCGTTTCTCCTGCCGAAGCGTTGATGGGCCGAATACTGCGGACAACATTTCATGCACTCGTCCCTACCGGTGCGCAGCCCACGCAGACTTCTCCAGTCTCTCGCAGCAAGCTTTCCATCGGAACACTTGTGTTCGTTCGTGATTATCGAGCGGAGTTCCCTGACTGGATTGAAGCAACCGTAGTAGCGCACAGAGGCAGTATCTTGTTTGCTGTCGACGTTGGTGATGACATCTGGGTTCGTCAACACAACCAGATCTGACGGCGACATTTTAATAACACAACGGCCTCGAGTCGGTGTCGTCACTGTCTCCTGACATCCTACTGGCTACCTTCGCCATTCCGGCAGATCGGTCGGTTCCCGAACCCACTGCTGCGCCTCCTGCGGATATACCACCTTCGGTATCAGTCATCGTCCCCGTGTCTGCAGACAATAAACCACGATTAAGACGCCGGACCAACCGCGTGCGCCGATCAACACTACCGATACAGCTCAATCCACGCCAAAATCGGTACTGACCTACGTGGAGGGGAAGTGTTGGGAGTGAGTACACTCCCAATAACAAGGGCCAACCAATCACGGGAGACCGCGTGCGTTTGCCCTCTCTGCAGCGCTGTCATTTAAATCGTGGCGCCTCTCCATTGGCTTTTCCTCTCGGGCCTGATCGATCAGCATATTCGAATTATCGACCGGCTCGTCTCGAATGTTCTTCCCGAAGGGCACTGGGCCGAACGCCGGCAAAGCAAATTAGGGCGTTATAAATATGCGTTACTTCCAGTTAATTTTGACTTGCAATTTCCAAATACACATTTTCGTGGCCGGTCGCGTTCTCCTTCTCTGCCGCGTTGGTATTGGGGACAAGGGTCCAGTGCGTATACGATCCACGGGCCTTCAAGTACCAGGCCGGGTCACAACACAAAGTGTATGGGACGTTTGTGCGGCCCCATCTGGAATATAAGGTACAAGCTTGGCGGCCGTGGCTTCGGAAGGATAAAGTTACCCTTGAAGTTGTACAATTGCGTGCTACAAAGGCTGTTCATGGCCTCGAATTTTTACGTACGAGCAGCGCCTGACGGCCTTGAACCTCTATCCCCTCCACTACAAGCAGGACATAGGTGACATCATAGCAACGTTCCAGTTTCTAAGAAGACTTCATCTGGATGTCGATTGGGAAACGTTTTTTGAAATTGCACCCAAGTCTAAACTCAGACAACCCGATTACCAGCTTAAAAAGGAATTGTGCCACACAAATCAACGTTCCTCCTTTTTCTCACAGAGGGTCATTCGCCAATGGAACTCTTTGTTGGCGTATTTTGTTAACTACCATACCATGAGTGTCTTCAAGTGAGAACTGGATAATCACCTGCTGAAAAGCAACCCAACCTGCCGAAGCCTGATCTGGCATATTACTGAAATGACTATAAACATACTGCTAACATGATTTAAACGGATCACTTCTGTGCGCTAAACTTGACCCATATGGAAATTTTCACAGTCCGAATGCAGTGAACAATGTTTTTCTCAATTATTTCGCAAATGCCATACCCTTTCCACATTTATGTTCCACTATTAGATTTATTCATTCTGCTCACTAAAACCGCATGCAAAATTCCTGTAATTTAACTATTTCCCCTTGCATCTGTACCGTCTAAATGGAGTTTTCAGGTCCTCTGTCGTTTTCCCAAATAAATTAATAAATACCGACTGACTGAAATGTCAGGCAATAAGTGGACAAGTGAAGGCCGTGTTAGTACTATTCCTGTGTCGCAAATGAGTACAAAATACTCCTTTTATTCAGCTCGATGCTAAGCCTGCTTGCTCTAAGCCTTTTGGTTTACGATTGGTTCAAGAAGCGTTTATTGGATTCCGGACACACCTGGTACAAGGTAACTACTTTTGCACTTTCATCCAGTTAATTTTAGTAAAAGAGGAAGTGAATTAAGTGGAGTCATTTTTCCCCAGCCGACTTAGCCTCAAGCAGGGTCAGCCGGGTAGGAAGTTAGACGTCCACTAAGACCCGAGCGAAGTTGGTTGTCACTCATCGGTTTGTCTCCAGGAGGAAAACGTGCATGTGCGTATGGACACCCACAGCCAATAATTCGCCTGTGGTAGAAGAACATGACCAACATCATTAAAGACCTGTACGGACAACGGGTGGTGTTTATTCACTTTTCTGTACGCGTCGTCCAGTAAGTCCATGTGGTGTCTGATTGCAAAGGAAGAGCGTGAGCAATTTAGGGCGGTTTGACTATTATTGGTCTGAGCTCGTGGTAGCGGTTCTCCATTTGCACTTTGATGGCTGTCAAGGTATCTAAGTCATACCTTCTCACAATAGACTGCGGTGCCGATACACTGAAGCGAGACGGGGGTCACACTGATACGCAGCGTGCATCTGTCGGACTGTACAGAGTCCGTGCGAGCTCATTCCTGCTGCATTCATGTGACATGTCTTAGACGTAGGCTTTCATGCGGCGTTAGCCTCTGCGCTCAATCCCGTCACCAACCGGTAAACAAGCTTGGACAAATGACTGATGCATGGGAGACTAGGGGAGTCGCGTGTCACCCTTTACGCAGGGTTTTTATATTTTCTCGGTTTTTAGAACGAGACAGGCGTAAAACTAGGCGTAAAACTTCTACCTATGTGTGTCTTTTCACGGCTACCTCACCTCTGCTGTCAGTAACAGGTTCCATACACAGCTCCCAGTATGCAGGGGAAGCAATACCGGCTATCCTCACCCGGCTTAGCCTGTCCATCGAAAGGTTGCCAGGGCGTGACCACCACGCTGAACACTGTATTGTGCTGCCGTATAATAACTGAATGACGGCGAGAGGCCGAACGAAAGAGCAACCAGGTGCATCAAGGCCTGTGAAGTCACCAATTACTACTGCACCAATTACAACTGTACCCATCACCTGGACATTCCGTACGCCATGCCCGGCCCGACCTCTCCTCCGTCCCACGCGATGACTTTCACCTCGTGCCTCACAGGGTGAAGGCAGCGTCGGCGGTTTGCGCACGAATAAGTCTATAGGTGGGCGCGCTTACGTAACATCCACCAAACTCTCTTCTCACTCACCCATCAGGTTACGATAGCAAGACAATGTCAAAATGACCGGAGATGGTCTTGGGTGCTGTGGATGATAGGGCTAAACGGTCCGCCTACGCATGCCGCACACAATCAGGTCCCCACACCAGATGTACCTGACTACTGTAACCGCGGCTGGAGTCTCAATGCTCGAATCCCAGTAATCGCAGACGGATAACAGGCAGTCAGTATGGTAAAGAACACCGTCAAATAAGGTGGGACAGTGTAACTCTACCCAACAAAGATGAATTTTTGTTTAAGTGCAAAAAGTGTGAGGGAGACTGGAATTGGCCGTTTCTGGCATATTCGCTATTGCCAGCCGGCAAGGCTTCAACTTCAGGCCGGGCGGCCAGATAACTAGATCCGCGTAAGTTGGTTACTTAACAATTGAGTCGGGCTCCACAGCCTGAGACAGCAGTCACTTATTGTAGGTGAAGTCGGGAGCATTTTAAGTCACCTTAAAGTGACCTTTGACAGATCTGATTGCAAAACGGAACATATTCGTCTCTTTTATTTTCAAACTTCAGTTTAGAGCCCACGAGGGCAGTCACCCATCGGCAAGCGGTCAACAGGACAAGAACTATTTGCCTTTCACCCGTCTTCCTCAGTGGCCCTGCATTAACGGTTGACTGTCACTAAGTTCCCAGCTGCAGGTATTATAGACTGAAACGCCAAGACTGTACGAGGCGAAAATACTCCCAAATGCAGTCACCTCGACTTCATACGCATATCGAGTGAATAAATACCCGAGCTTCAGTGACAGAGAATGTTCAGTGACAAGGCACTGATGAACCTCGGCTCGTTGAAGCACTTATGACCCATCCGGTGGACCCTATACGTGAAGGTGCCTGAAATCGCAAATGCATTATAATTAAAATGTGTGAGTCAAATTGAATAGCAGTAAAGGTCGATGCAACTGTCGACAATAGCACAAAGCGAAGCTGATATTTAGTTCCTGGTGGACGCAAGAACACCCAGAAAACGACACAGCTGAGGGAGCTTGACAGGTGAAATAAAGCATGGACAACAAGAGCTTGTGGTCAGAGCCGGGATTTACGAAAGAAATAACGCAATGTCCGAAGAATTGGAGTAGTGCAAGGTCACCTGTAGTACTGGGGGACCTATTTTCCCGTGCCCAGTCAAATTTAAAGATGCATAATTCTCCATCACCTGGATGCTAACTGACTTCCTATTGCGGGGTTTGCAGGCAAATTTTAAGTCCGAAGGGAAAACTGATACATGTCCCGTCTTACCTGTTGAATGAACAATTCTTTAACTACCCTTTTTTAGACTTTTTGTTGTATCCCAATGTTGGATTAGACATGCCATCAAAGTTTAAAGTATGGAAGGGACGGGTGCAGCCCCAAGCGGACTATCTTTTGATACATTAAAAGAAACACGCAACGC